CTCACCCAATGACTTTAACTTTTTTATTAATTTTTTTATCTATATCGCACTTGATATCTCTTGATATCTTGTTAAGGTTTAAAAGTAGAAAAATTTAAAGTGTTTTAGAAAGTAGGAGAATCCGTCACGTGATTCAAAGTGTATGTAAGACTCAGACTATATTGATTTTAATCAATATTATCGTATATAAAAAAGTAATTGGTGAAATTTAATCTTTTCACAATTACCAATTAAGTGGTTACTAAATACTGTCATAATAAAAAGCGTATGTTATAATTAAAGAATCTTTATACTATTTTTGTAATTTTTATGTAGACAGTCGAATGTAGTCAAGTGTATTATTAGGTGTTGGAATTAATTCGTAGCGTTTTTAATGAAAGAATGTTATTTATTTCACATGAGCATTAAAAAATACATTAATGAAAGTACTTCCCATCACTTGTAAAACGCTACGAATTAATTCCAACACCTAATATCTTGAGGAAATATCGGCAAAATTGTTAGAAATACAATAATGCTACCACATTTATTAATAAAAAGTAAAAAGTTGTTATAAGTAAGACATAGGTGCATTGGCGCATTGTCGGTAAAGCGAGTTAACAATTGTTGAGTTGTTAAAATATATTTTTTTAGTTGACAATTGCTTATTGCATACAATAACAATCATTAAATCATTTAATATTAGATACAAACAATGAATAAAAAAATTTACGCGCTTGAATATATAATTAATTATAATTACAATGATTCACAAAACTTAAATATAAAGCATAAATAAGAAGGAGCATACACAGCCACATACACAAATACATGTAATTAAATATATGACTTGTATAACCAATGTATTCCTTATGTTTTATTTTAATGAGCCATTTCTAATAACTTTTGTTTAAATTTTATTTGATCAAATATATATATGTATTATATACAATTATTTACAAGTGACGAAAAATGGCAATTAGCAAAAATGACTTTCAATAGTTTCAATATCAACAAAACAAATATCTATATTATAATAAACAAATATCTATATTAAAACAAATTAAATGATACTGAGTACGAGTCAATGAAGAATGTTAAATACTAACAAATGAATTTTAATCTTACAGTAATTTAAATACAAAGTTAAACGTTTCGACCCTCACGCATCCTTTAAGTCAATCTCAGTAACAGAAAATTATATAAATAAAAAAATTCGCAAAATTATACAAAAGTACCGAATAATATACCAAATAATATAAATATGTTCAAATATAATTTGTAATGATTTCTATAATCAAAATTGTTCAAAAATCTACTTCTCTCGTTATTCCAATATTCATCCGCATATGATGATAAGAATACTTCCGTCCAACCAATGTGTCCTCATAATTGCATAGTCAATAGTTAAAAAAATAATAAATTATATAAAAATTAAGTCACATTGACGTGCTCTGGTGGATCGACGATAATTTTTTTAAAAAGAATCAAATTGTAAATGTAGTCATAAACAACTAGAATAAATTAATAAAATAGTTGAGTTGAAGTAGTAAAATAATTGAAAAAGATTTTTATCGTTATACCTATTAATGCATCTAAAACGATTGCAAGGCTTCTTATCAATGCGTCGGTAGTGTACACATATGCTATAAAATTATGTTCTTAATTCGTTAATTAATAAAATTTGAATGTAAAATTGCGAAGATGAAATTCTCTTCTCGTAAATATTCACAACTTGTCACAAATTACATAAACAGCATGAAAAGAAAATGGATAATGACACAGCAAGGAAAAAGAAAATAATGTTAAAGAAATAAGTGGAAGGAGAAAAAATAAGTAGTAGAAAAACGACAAGGAAAGGGGATAATTAAGAAGGGAATAACAATTATACAATAGGAATATAGGAATCAGAAAGAGATTTTGTGTCATTTGGCCTATTTAGTCCATGTTCCTGTTTTTTAATATGTACCATCTCCGAAATCAGTCTTTTGTTATAAGATGGTTCGCTATTTAAAATTTTTACGTCAGTCCATTTAAAGTCATGTTCGTAAATCAAGCGATGGTTGAATTAGAAATTACTGATGGTGATCCTGTTTTTTTATTGATATCACTCACATGTTCATTGCCCGGATTCAGAATCAAACTCTAGCTGTAATAGAGATATTATAAATCTCATCCGAAAGAGGACACATATGATCATTGATAGGAGTTTCAGATTTTTAAAATTTAAGTTCATAATAAGAATTCGAATTTTTCTGTACTGAATAAGAAATAGATCTAATTTTAAGTTTTTCTGTACTATACTGTTTTTTAATTAGCCAATCAATCTTTCTGTCAACTCTATTCATTTCCCTCAATCGAAAATGGTAACTATTTTTTTCTTGAAAACAAAAAAAATACATCTTGAACTGATAAAGGTACATGTTAGAAATAACCCTCGAGATTAAAAAATTTGTGTTCTATTGTAATTTAAATGATTATAAATGAATATTATATCACTCAATTCTAAATACAACACAGATTTCACATGTTTTGAACGCATAGAGTTCAATCGTTTTTTTAAATTATAATGGCTGAGTTATAAAAACTGATGTTATATATTCCAACATTGGCCTAGTTTTCACCGAGGGTTTAATCTGGATCAGAATATAAGAATCAACCAATCACAATTGAAAATGTCGTTCGACTGTAACAGGGGAATACTCGACTGTAGTTGATTGATTCTTACATTCTGATCCGGATTAAACCCTCGAAAACTAGGCCATTGTTAAGATGTAGAGGAATTAAATCTGATTTCAAACACACCTTTATAAATCTAAATCTATTATTCGGCATATTATTCGATACTTTTGTAATTTTGCAAACTTTTTTATTTATATAATTTTCTGTTACTGAGGATGACCTAATGAGGCTCGAAACATTTAACTTTGTATTTATTATAAGATTAAAATTTATTTGTTAGCACTTAACATCCTGCATTGATTCATAGCTTTTATATTATTTAATTTGTTTTAAAATTTTGAGTCTAAATCAATATTCATAGTCAGTTCTTATTTCAAAATCGTCTTAAATAATGTCTTGAGACGATCTAATACGACCTTCTGATTGGTTCGTGACACCTCAAGACAGAACTTAAGATAGTCTTGAATATTAAAGAACCGACTATGAATACTGGTCTAAGTGTATTGATTCTTATTTTTTAAATATCTATATGATCTTGCTGATTATAGTACGATTTCGTCACCACTATACGAACACACATATGAAATTAAAAATGTTCATAAATCAATTAATATTGTTAAGGTTTTTTAGATTGTTTTATGTAGGTAAATAATTGTATAGAGTATAAATACTAGTTACATCATAATCATACATTAAAATAGAAAATTTTTTTACTTACATGTCTCTTTGATTATTATAGAACGTTTAACGTAATACCAAGTGTAAAATGATGTCATTCATGATCACAATACAAATTGATATCATATAATATTATATCACATGAATATATTTATTATTAAGAATTAATAGAAAAATTCAAGCTTACATCTTTTTTTAAAACATATTTAATGATAAAATATCTATTTGTAAATATAATTTATAATACATATTTTTAGTTAATGATTTGTAGTCACTACTGTGTGAAATATCAGTTCGCTATCTCTTAAAATATTTTTATGAAAGAATATTAAGTTTTAGCTGTTTTCCAGTTAACATAAAATTTTGAAATGTATAAATTATATATTATATTAAAGAACTGATACTAAAATGGAGTTAAGTACTGTATTGCTTATCTTGAGAAAAAATTAGAGAAATCATAATCGAAGATAATAATCATATTTAGACAATAATTATATCGAGAATCAATTGAATTTATTGATAAAAGGTTATTCAGATATCAAAAGAAATTAAGAACAATAACTATATTGTTTTTAAATTTATATTTAAATACATATTACTTGAAGCATGTTTGTTATTCAAATCCAGGAAACAAAATGATTAAATCGTGGACTCTCTGTCGTTTATTAGTTGCTTGAAAATCTCAAAGTTACGTATTTAAATATTATAATAATATTCTTGTGTTGCTTTCTTGACATCTTACTTAATAACTTTTTATCAATAACAGCATTAGATAATAGTATTAAATTTATTGTTATTAATCACAATTTTTCTCATATTTCCGACGATTTCCCAAGATAGTACAACACTCGACTCCACTTAAATAATCCTTTAATATAATATAATTTATACATCTTTCTCGAAACTTTATGTTAACTGGTAAATAACTACAACTTCACTTTTTTAATAATATTTTTTTAAGAGCTAAATCGGGTACTTCACGCAATAATGTCTACAAGATAACTGTCATAATAATGGTACACGCATACGCATGCGGACACGCACACACACACGCACACACACACACACGCGCACACACACACACACACACACACACACACACACACACACACATTATAACTGTTTACAACAATTATAATAATAAAATTATAATTGTCTTGTTGATAATGTAATTTACATCTATTATACTATAATTTTCTATATACATACCTGCATAAGATCACAAATTAATATTGCTCAAGATAATGTACATCAAATTCTGATTAATTTAATCGACGATTAGCTTTTATCAGGTAATATCTATAATTAAACGAATAGAATCATTAATTTTTGACATATTTTTTGGGAAGAATTAAATTAGAGACAACGTATTATGTTTAGAAATTTTACTGTAATTTCATTCACCGCTCAAGTTAATCAGAGTCTGATCAATTGTCCTTATAAAGATAAAATGTTAACAAATGTTCTATGTATAGTTCTATTTGCTATTCAACAAGAACAATTTTTTTAATTGCTTATAACTTAGAAATGTTAATCGGAAATAGCAAATAATTTATAGCAGATGATTTCATTATAAATAGAATTTTTTATTATTCATGATTGTTCCATATCAAAAGGTAAATCAAACTGATGGAGGTTTCTTATGAAATTAGCAGAATACATGGGTTCGTAGCATATATTATTGAGATCCTGTTGAAAATAATGCTAGGAATGCGCTAGTAACACCTACAGAAAGTATATAGTTTACTGCAGGTGTGAATGTTTTTAAAATGTAAAACGAAGATACAATGACGAATGCTAGGAAAAGGGCATTATTGTAAAAAATTGAGAATGTTGTTGCTTCATAATCTGCCACTTCATTCTTCTTCCACAAGATCCTAGATATTTAAATATAATATATATATATAATACATATAAATTAATATATTTTGCAAAAGGTATGATATACTTTTTATTATAATCAATTGTATTATAATCAATTGTGTCGAAATGATTACTTAGGAAATATTATACACCATTTGATGCATAATTGATCAGCCATTTGTTTTGGAAAAAATTGAAATTACCTTTCGTCCTTTTCTTTCTTGCTCATCTTTTTGTCTTCTGCGAGTTTACGACTTATTTCTTTAGTTACAGCATCTTCTCTTTTTACTGCAATCTATATAACATATGCATATACAACATTATATTATATTCTCATCATTCCTACATGGTACATCATCTCTTAAGTCTTAGACTTATTCAACAAATTCTCAACAAAGGACTCTGCACTAATCAAATGATGCTATAGCAAAATTTGTTCACTTTTTATGGTTTTGTTTAAGAAAACTTTTAATTAGCATCTCATAATTTACAAAATATCATTTTTAGCCAATTTTCAAAGTCACTTTTTCTTTGTGATCAATATGGACTCTTTTAAAATCAAAATCAAAAGGTAAATTTCTTAAAGTTGTAAATTATAAAAAAAAAGATTTATTTACTTTAATAAACACTTTTGTGCTTTAGTAAACAAATATCAATCTCCTAAATTCACGTAAAACATACCTTGTGTTTAAGAATGAATTTTGTGTTTTTATATGCTAAGGCAAGGGCGTATGTGCTCGCCAATGTAACCAATACAAAAGAGATTAGGTTAGAGTATAAATCGATCAAATGTATTCTCCAAAATAACCCTGTAAAAAAATAAAATACAGTTTGTAAAGATTTCATGTAATATTTATTTTCAATAAATATTAAATATCAGATTTAAAATAAACAAAGATATGCTAGGGATATTAAATTATGTTATTAAAATTGGACTAAGATATATATACAGGGTTGGCCATATTCGACGGAAAGATGTTTTTTTTTCAAAATGTATTTTTAAAAAATATGAATCTCTTTTTGTATAGAAACCAGAAACATTGCTCTATTGAAATTATTACATAGAAAAATCTGTCTACACTATTTTTTATAATCTATAATATTTTTTAGATAATTTATTTACACACAAATATCATAAATATATAATAAACACAATATTTTGTATATAAACAAGTTTTATATACAAAATATATATAAGAATATTATAGAATCTGTTACACGATATTCGTTGAGTTCCAAGACATAACTGTCAAATCTCAATTTTTTAACTGTATTTTAAATCAGATAGTAAATCAGAAAACATAAAATTTTATACAGAAAATGATGAAGGAGTATTTTTCAATGCTCTTCACAAATTTCTACACTCACAAATGGGTATCGCCGAAACGATGAAAGCATTGCCATAGAACAACGCCGAGGATTTTGTCGACACATTTCTGGAGAAGTCTTGCAATAGTAGCTCCTCCTCTTTGGTAAATGCTTTAGACTTTCCCGACATTTTCAGTAACAGCTAGACGATATAATCGGCGGACAATTGTTCACGAGGACTGTCACTTGACGGACGACGGAGATGTCGGAAACAGTCAAAAACAAATGGTACGCATGCGTAAAAAGCGTCAGTGTGAAAACGTGTGGTGACGTGTCCCTCATCGTCATTCCTCGTCATATCGATCGAGGCATAAGTCTTGCTCTCTGGAGGCGATTTGCTGTAAACTTTACCAAAAATTTGTCAAATCAGTTGCAGGTATTAGAAATTTCTATCAAATTTATTCATTTAATTTATAGGATAGAAATGGATATTTATGATACATCTGAAACTTTGAAGATTAAACAAAAATACATGATCTTATTGCATTTATTTTTAGCATTTTAAATCACAATTCGATGAGTCTAGAGATAATTGAAGAATTCAATATTATCAATATAAATATTTGATCAATCTATAATATTACAATACAAATTAAATTAAATGATTTATTAAATAATATAAATAAATGTATTATTATACATGCTTGAATAAACATTTATATATATTTATAGGATTAGCATATGAATTGAATTGGTTTTTTAATAGTTATTATGCATAAATAATGATCAAATATAGTTAATAACAATATAAAATATGGTATAATAAATCGTAAAATTAAATTATCAATTAATCATAATTCAAATTTTGGAACTTCTATAAATTAAATTGTTGATTATTTTTAATATTGCTTTATCGGTGTTGCAGCTGTAGCTCTAGCTATATAGTCGTACATACATACGAGAGCTATGACAGCAACCAATTCGTCTAACTGGCGTCTCTAGTGTGCCATTTGCTGTCATTCCTGACGGATCAGCTGCGATCCGTTAATTGGAAGAATTTTCGGGAATTCCAATTAAATTATCAGTGTTATGACACGCGTACTAACGTGTCTGGCTTAAATCCATCTCGACACCGCGAAATTATGGAGGCCGAGAACGAAGAGGTGTCCCTGATGCAATCTTCGACGGAAGCATCAACGTCAACCGAGAATCATAACCACAACAAAGTACGCAGAAGGAATGTGCCTGAGTCGGCGTCGCCGGTGAGTCTCTCAACAAAAACAGACGGCTGGGCGACAACCGACTTGCACGACAACCGCGTGCCCCTCGTGATCCTGTCCGACTCCACGAAAGCGTGGCACGACGGCGTCACGCCGCAGATACCAGATCTCGCCGATGTGGTCACAGCAGGCAAACAGCGGAATGGTGTGCTGACTCGCGAGGACGACCACGGTGTGACAGACATCCTCACGAGCCGCGAAAGGATGAAGATGAGTGTGATCCGTGGCAGCATCGTCAATCCGGATCTCACGTTAGGAGAGCTAAGACTACTTGGCTGTAGTAGCGAAGGCTTCGTTAATGGTACTTTGTCCAGGTGACGTCAATTATGATCAACAAGGAACCTTGATAATTTCGTTCTCTGGAATTTTATTGAAAAAAAATTTTCCGGTTTTCGATCTTCTACATGATTAACGTTAGTAGTAACGTAGTTTTGGGATACGGTATTCCAAGTGCTAGTTTGCTAATATTGCTTATGTACTTAAAATGGTTCCTTTTTGAGAATAATTTTGTTCTTTATGACTAAGTCTTGAAATCATGAAGATGATCTGTAGATGATGTACGAAGGGTACTGTGGCCGAAACTTTTGCGCCTGGCACAATTGGAACCTACATCCATTAATGGACTAGAAACTGTACATACTTATATACCAAACGAGATCTATCAGCAGATATTGAAGGATGTGGCACGTAGCGGTAGTCATGTCTCACAGAGCGCAACAGAAAAGGAGACGGAAAATTTTCAAGAGCAGTTAACTCAACTTATGTGCTGGGTACTTCATAGACATTCCCAATTGAAGTTAGTATATTTACATATGAATAGTTCATTATTAATTTATTTTGTGTGTGTGTGTGTGTGTGTATTATATATAATTTATGTTTTATTATAATATAAAATGAAATAATATTTGTACTTAGTTACTATCAAGGATACAATGATGTGGCAGCAACTGTGTTAGTTGTGATGGGATTACAAGCAGGCTTGTATGTGCTTGAAAGTATCTCGCTAGAATTCCTGGAAAGATTTATGGAAAAAACTATGGAAAAAGTGAATCAAGAGTTATTCTTTATATTTGCATTGCTGGAAAGAGTACATCCTACGCTTTTGGAACATTTAGAAAAGTTAGTCTTTTCTTATTCATTAAGAACATATCTTAAACTTTTTATTTTTATATTTATTCTAAATAAACTAATAAATATAAACTTCTATTGTATTTTATATTAATTTAATAATATTCTATATACTATAAATATAAATTATTTAAAATTTATATTTTTTTGTTTTAATTAATTTTTATTTCATAAACTTACTGGTATTAATAATCTCATTACTAATAGCAACGTTCCTTATTACTCTAGTGTAGAACTGTTTCCACATTTTGCTTTGGCTGAATATACAACATGGTATGCACACAAGTTTGCAGAAAACCGAAAATTGTTACATAGATTATTTGATTTTTTCCTGGGTAGTCCCCCACTTATGCCTCTCTATTTAAGTACAGTAATTGTGGCACATAGAGCTACAGAAATTTTTAATACTACGCCCGATATGGGACATACACATAAAGTATTATGTACGGTGAGTATAATAAAAGAAAATAATTAGTTCTGAAGAATTGAAGAAAGACAATAAAATTATTTCAAATCTATGTTTTTCAGTTACCCGACGACTTGCCATTTGAAATCCTTTTAGTAGAAGCAAAGAATCTATATCGACAATATCCTCCTGAATCTATCAGTAATGATGTCAGAGATTATGATCATAAGAGAAAAATTAAAGAGCAAGAATGGAAGGCAAAAGCAGAAGCAAGCCGACAAGAGAGAGAAAGACAACGAAAATTAAAAATTGTTCAGGCAACGCCAAGGATATCTTATCGTATTAGAAGTTATAAAACCATTACTGTTGTAACTATTTTAGCTTTGGGAATATATGCTTTCATAAGATCCTCGACAGGGCTTAACTGACATTAAGAGATATTTGTTGTTTGTAAAAAACTAGAATTTTTACATATTTTCTAAAGCAGAAACCCTCCACTTCTTCAATACACGCTGCGATTTGGAACAAGATTTAAAAATTGTATAAAAGCAAGCACCAAAGAAATGAAGCAAGGAGTATGTGTTGTTAGCAATAACTGAAAGATTTGGTTATCAGTATTTGAGCAAAAATCTGTTCTAGGACACATGAGTCAGAATCTTGTGCATTCCTATGCTGCCTTTATGCTGTGTTCTAGAGGAACATGAATGTTTTACTATATGTTAAAAAATTATAAATATATGAAAATTTATAGAAAAAAAATAATTTCTAATCAGAATTGCTAAAGGTTTGGACCTAAATGGGATATCAAATAGATAAAATGTATATAAAAATGTTTCGTATATAATATTTATTATTATAATTACGTTGTTATGATCTGTGATTAGGAACAATTTTATCTATAATTATATTCGCAAAGAAAAATTATGGTAGTTAACCATTATGTGATCAATAATAAAAACATTTTATTTTTTAACAACATTCATTTATTATCATCTTCTTTATAATATACCGTTTTATCTTAAAAATATATATGTAATGATGTATTGTCTAGTTTATCAGATTTGATGGCATTAGATATCAAAAGAATATCATATTGATTGCTTACATTTTATGTAGAATTTATTTAAAGATTTATTTTTCACCATTTTATACATGAATGTAATTTTGTAGAAATTTAATGTGCTAATAAATTAATAAATATTTTTATCAGCACATTTCTTTCTACAAATTATTATACAATATTATAAAATCATATATTTATTAAAATATATGAACTTATTTATACCAAAAAAAAATACAAGTTATATACATATTGTGTATTACAATAAGAAAATTTTAAAGTTGTAAACATTTTAGAATCAACATTTATTAATATCGCCGGTTCGCGTAAAGGAACACGATAGTGTCACTGCTTTGTCGAGACACTATTGTGTCTCCAGATCTCTTAAGGGAATGTTTTTTACATTAAATTTCTTTAGCATTTTATGAGTATTCATCACAATTATGAATCAGTATAAATATAATATTGAATATATATATATATTTAATATAATCAATTTATGACTAGTAACTTAAGAAACTTCATTGTTATTCTAATTGTGCTGCATCAGCGACTAAAAAAATATGTTACTATACATATAGAAACATTTTATATATAACATATTATTACTGTATATCGCTAGTCATGTTAATCTGATCATTCTTTGTTTCATGTGAGATCATGCAATATAAAAATTGATAATATATACTGAATATATAAATATGTACACATAAGGAGAAGATAAAAGTATTATATTTATAGGCTGAGAGCATGGCTATATGCCAGTAAATGAGTGGAAGTATTGACATTTAGAAAATGTTTTTTGTAACTGCATCACTTTATAATACTCCCAATCGATAATTGCTGCTATGTTATGTAATGATATATTTTAATGAACAATGTAGTTAATAAAAATATATTTTCAATTACATTGTCGTACTTTTTAGTCAATAAAGTATCAAGAAATGAATTTACTTCATGAAATTAATGAAAATGTTTTAATCTTGTTAAAATCATTTTATATTGAAGTTTTAATATTAATTCGTACCAAGATTAGCACGGACGAGATACTATTATCTCATCGGTAGCAAAAAATGTTACAAGAATATAGTGACGTCATTAAATTCTGTTTGTCATTCTTTTGCATTTCATTAAAAATTACTAATAAAACTTATATCATACTTTTAAAACTGCCTTAATATATGCCAAAACATCACGATTTCTTAAGATTTCAGTATGATCTATTCCAGGAAAACTTTGATTATAAATTTTTTGTACTTGTGATCTCTGCCAAAGTGTGCATGCTTCCAAACTCCTTATATTCACTGTTCCATCGCCATCTCCAACTATTAATTTAGGGTAACCATTTATACTCGTACCTGGTTTATAATACAATCTGCAAAAAATAAATATAAATTTTAAATGGCTTATTATGAATATAAATAAAATAAAATGTACATATATATATATATACATATATACACACACACACACACACACACACATTATATATATATACAAACTTTTCTACTGTGTCCACTTTGTTGCCGTATAAACAATGTACTTCAACACCTGGTGCCGTAAAATCCAATTGATATTTCTCATTGTCTTTTCTGAATTCCCAGGCGTTAGGAACGTCGATGTCTCTGTAAATGAAAATATCTTTAAAAATATTTATGGAAAACAAAATATAGCAGATATATAATAGTCTAAATAATCCACTGTACATAAAATATTGTTGTAAATTGCTCAATGTATAGTTTTTCTGATCCGATTGCACTAAAATCTCTGTGTCTTTCCAAAGTAGTTTTGAAGGTAATAACCATCCTAGACTTGGACTCGTTATCTGTTCGTCTCTTAATACACTTTCACGAAGAAAATATGCACCTAAATCATCTCCTGTATTAGACACAAAAAATGTGTATGTAAAGCATTATATCTCATAAAACAAGATAATAGTTGAAAAATTTGTATTATACTATTCTAAATTCAAGTTATCTGCTAATTTATTAATAATTCAACAATAATTGATTATTAATCATTACAAGTAAACAAGATTATACAAATAAGATTGATATGCTTACCAATGGCAAATACTTTAACAGCCTTGATAGATCCTGCCCATACAGCACTAAGTGTGATAAAGGCATTTATGTATTTATCCTTCCATTTCTGACTTTGGCGTTGTAACATTATAAGAGTCATAGGTCCACCCATGCTGTGAACCAGTAGCGTCACTGGCGTATTATTATTCATTATATACGTTTCCTCGACTAAAGTTTTCAATTTAGCAAAGAATTCTTCATTTTCACCTGCAGTTTAAGGTCTTTATCTCGGTAAATTTGTAGTACAATTGAATAAAATATATGATACTAAATGCTAGCATGTAATGCCTGTATGAAACAATTTATTGATATCGTCTTTCTACATACTAGGTCCTTTTCTGAAATCGTAAGGTGCACCACGTATCGATAAATTCCTGATGTATCCTAAATCGTTTACCAGCATATTTCCAATGTCCTTGAAATATGAGCCTGGCGAGGCCCTGCTGGGATCTATATATTCAACTACAAATGGATTACCCCATCCCGGTATCCTTATATCTACTCCAGGCTGATTGCTAGTGGTCCTTGTCACATTATCGTAATTCAATTTAAGATTATCTATCTGTAATAGGATTAAAAATTACTTTCAAATTATTCAGCTAAAAAAAGACTAGAGCTATGCATGGTAAATCAAAATGATCGTACAAAGCAGTCTATCACGACAGGTACAAGCAGTTCCATGTTCAGCCATAAGTTAAAATAATCGTTGGATATTTTCGCGCAGATATAATGTACCACTGATGATTTGTTAATCCTTGCCTCGACCTGACTGCCGCCATCACCTGGAACTAGAATATCATTTTCCTTCGTAAGTAGACGCGCTCTTTGCAATAAGTTGATATCTCAATAAGTTGATATCTTCGAAGTTCTATGACACTACGATAAGAGTCATATCGTCAAAGGAGAGAATCATACAAAGCGGCACTTCAGAGCCGTTTCAAGCCCTAAAGTGCAGACAGAAAGAGTCATAATAACTTTCGGCGAGCGCATGCTTTCAAAAATATTCCATACATACATCACAGACCCCAAGGAATATCCTAAAGATAGGATATTTCTATGCCTTTCCTGATCTTAAGGATATCAAGATGATCAGATAAAATATGATGTGTATGGACAATATTAAGAGATTTTTGACTCACCCAAAATAACAGGCGATATTTGTTTAGTTTTGACGTGCCAGGGTCTCACCAGTTGTGTGGTGGGCGAGAGAACAATTATCACGCTCAGGAGAGCTGCCAGGCGCATTGTTTGTCGCGACTACGATTTTAAAAACGATAGGCGGATTTTCACAGGAAAGAAACACGTGTATTTTGGAAATTAAATGAACTTGGCTGTTACTCGATGAACAATTTCTCTTCCGTCTCCTCTTGATTTAACAGAAATATCCTATGCTCGTCACTGTTCGTTTGCTCCAGTTACAATAATCAGCTGATATCGCCTCATGTGTCAAAGTAGACGACATTCGTAATCAGTGATAGCCAATCGAAGCGACGGAGGAGGACAAAAAGTATTAGGGGCTCTGCACAATAAAAGAAACAGAAAACAAAGAATAAAAATTTCAACCTATCAGAAATCATGTTTTGTAGAATACATAGTTTCTGATAGGTTGCAATTCTTATTCTCTGTTCTCTGTTCCCTGTTCCTTTTATTGTGCGGAGCCCCTTATTCTATTGGCACGCTTTTGTAAGCATTGTTCTGATCGATCATAATTGTCTCTTTCTGTATTTGCGTATTTAAAAAACATGTTATTAGACGAAGCGATTTAAATTATTGATAAACGCACGTTTAATGACGTTAAAAGAGAGAAGAGTAAACACAGATTGTTGCAATTACGTAAACAGATTTACGTTTCAAATTAGATTTTATTATTCTTTTTTTCCAAGATGTTTTGTTTTGTGTGAAATAAAACGCACAAGGACAAAAGGTGAAACAAACAGATTTATGATCAGTTTATAGTATATATCCTATTGTCGATTTTGCAAAAAAAGCAAATTGCGTCAAGATAGAGTCAAAGACAAACAAGTTTGAATATGGAGCATATAATTTGATTCATCAATCGTATGACGTTCTATAAATTGCGGAAGACTCGTATATGTCACGTTTTAAATTGCCTTCGCCAGTATATGTTTGTTCTCATTATTTAAGGTTAATTTAAAAATAAACTCCAGTTTCTTTATAATGTATACACGTGACAAACATTTTTACTGTAAATCTACAAATCTACATAAATCCACACGTTGGCAAAATAAAAATCAAGAGTAACAAAAGTATAAACGAAACGTTTTTAGGAAATTTTTACAATATAATTTATACAATATAATTTATTTGACTTTTAAATATAAATTTTTGCTTTTTCGTCCACAGCATGATTAAAATCCCTACAGCAAAAGTTGCAATATTGCTGCAAATTCTATGCTGTATAGGAGTAGAGATAAAAAATCTGAATAAAAAATTGAGTAAAAATCAATTCTTTACTTTCTCAAACAGAACAAGTTAAACAATAACGTCAAAATATTAAAAAAATAAATTGGAAATGATCGAAAAATGATTTTTAATAATCATTTTGGAGTCATTTTGATATTATAATGACTTGTTGTTCTGCCTAGGTTTAATCTTGAAAATTATTTACTACAATATTTATTTTCTTTGACATATGACGACATATATTATTATTGTTCTAAAATTAATTTAAAATTTTTGCGTTCATTCGAAAGATTTTTGTGCAAAAATAAAAATTGTAAACAATGAAAATATAGTACAATAACTAAGCCGATAGCCACGGAGAATTATCTTTTTTCAGAGTTCTGATAAAAAATATTTTTTTACTATACAAACTGATGTTCAATTTGCTAAGTTTTTACTTCTAATTGCAAGCAAAAATCTTGGTTTTTTTTAAATTTCTAATTAAAGGAAAAAGTGCAATAAAATTTGTGCAATAAAAAAAGAGACAACATTTGAAAATTCAATTTCTGGGTTTCACATCATTCATTACTGACATCCCGTCAACGTCGTCGAGGATCGAAACGAGTACGTTGTTGGATCAATCGACGGTGCTTAGCACCGATCGACACCAAAGACCGCGAGCGAGCACACGGTGGGTAGATAACTAGATACGGTGTCGTCGCACGCGTTCGTTCGGGAGGATCCATTGCGTTGGACCGGACCGGACGAGCCGAGCTTTAACCCTCGTTTCCTTCCCCTCCGGTTAAAGAGTCGAGGATGGCCGATGTCAAACAGGATCACAAGGGCGAGGACGTTGACAGCTATGGGATGGGCAACAGCGCCGACCCGAAGAACATGCAGGAGCTGACGCAATACGTGAGTCCGCGTATTTACGCACAGGATGACGGTGATGCATCCAGGGACGATCCGTTACGATGCGACCCTGACGCTACGTTGACTCCTTTGCAGGTGCAAACGCTGTTGCAGAACATGCAGGACAAGTTTCAAACCATGTCTGACCAGATCATAGGAAGAAATATCCTTTTTTTTCTATTTAACCATGTTTAACCTAAAACGGTGCTGCAAGCTATTAAAACAGCATTTGTGGAAAAATCTGTGTTGACATTTTGTCATACAGTATCATGTAACAGGAGTTGTCTCTATTAGTGCACGTCAAGTTTTTTGCTGTACTTTAGCTTATTTATCTTTGAACGTAAGTAGTAAAAAGCAATATAGCTGTTTTTTTGTTATTAATTTTGTATGAGTCATGCTTCTGTTAATTTCAATAATTAGGAAGGCAACTTTGTGTCTATGTGACTTCAAAATTTTATTGATGTATGCTTTTATTTTCCAACTAGTTTATAAGAGATTAATAAATCTCTTCTTTTTAGCTGAAATCTTGCATGGTTCATCTTCTTTTTTTTCATATTGAAAAAAAGAAAAAAACGAGCCACTCAAGAAAATCACAAAGTTTAGGTAAAAAGAACCTGATTGTATGTAAATATACTCAACTATATTTATTTTTTAACTGTATTCATGTCACCTTTTATTTGATTATTAATTGAATTAAATATTATACAAGTTAACATATATTTATTTATTTATTTATTTATTATTCGTAAAAGTTAACATATGTTTATTTATAGTATTAATAGTTGCTACAAATATATAATTATTATAAGATCCTTAATAAGAAATACTAGATGAAATGGGCAATAGAATAGACGACCTGGAAAAGAATATCGCAGACCTAATGACACAAGCAGGAGTCGAAGGAGGTGATAAATAAGCTCATTCTTTCTTCAATGCACTCATCTATGAGTAATAATTTATCTGAAGTATCGCTATACTTTATTGTCATGGAAAAAAAAATGTATACAGATAGTGAGATATCCATCCCTTTGTTACAATACAGAAAATAAACTTACACTTTTTTAGAAATATATTTTGATATTATTTCAATTCTCGTTTCAGATAACTGAGATATCAACTAAACAATATAACAATTAGGTTACTCAACTTCAGTGGAAGCGAGTTACATTGATTCTTATATATTATCTTTATCTCAATAAAGTTTCTCTTATCTTTTTAAAACAATATTGCGCATCTACAAGGACGCTTAAATTAATATAAATAAGCATTATGCAAGTGTAAGAAAATGTTTACTTTGTTTGATTCAATCTGTAAGGTATGCGATATATTATAGATGACATTAAAGACTTCTGACATGTAGGAATTGCTGGGACGGGTCTGAGAATGAAGCGTTTCTTTACTTTGTATCCAGCGTGTTTTGACACTTTTTTCTAAAAAGATAAAAATGCAAAATATTAAAAGGATGATTGAAATTACATAGATTTCTGCCTAGTTCTCACAGGCTTCTCTTGAATTGATTCTGATTCCGTTTCCTCTGTGCTCTCTGGATATTCTTCAACTTGAACCGACTCTGAAGAGTTTGTGTATGCAGTTCGTATAGAATCCTAAAATTTGCCATATTAGGATCCAAAAATAAAACTGCAGAGCGATGTGTATTCAAATTTTGCACCTACAGCAGATTCGGTTCCTCGATTAACTAATTTTTGTGGCGAAGATGCGAATCGAGTAGCTAAGTTCGTTAACGAGTAAGCCTGTCGAAATGAAGTTCTGCCCACCGTGTTTAATCTTGCAACAGAATCGGGAACTCGTAATGTGTCTCGAAATTCCTAAATACAGAAATAATACTTTATTTGAATAATGATTACAAAATTGCATCAGCATTTAACAGTAAAGTTTAATTGAAATGTCAAATCTTTCTCATTAAATCATAATAACAAATATCAATTTAAAACAAGTTTACCCCGTTCATTTCTCCTCTCGCGTTTTGAAAGTCCTGCATGTTAAAGGATGAACAATATTGACCACCATATTTTATAAATATAATTCTTTCTTAACTTTAACCAGAGACACAATTTAGAAAAAAATTGAAATAATCTTCTATCTCACCTCAATATCTTTGACTTCGTCAATAGCTGCAACATCCTGATATGCTTTGGTCAGAAGCTCGAGGGCTTTTGTATGAAAACTCAATTCGACAGTGACAAAATCTAAAAGTATAGACTTCAAATCGTGTAACTTTCGTCGTTCGAATGAGTCGATTTGTTCCTCCAGACCTTTTACCACTCGGGATACTTCGATGGACGCTTTCGTCAGCTCTGACTCAGCTTGAGACTGATATTCTTTTTCAGTTAAAGATTTATAATATAAGATAACGAGACATTCTTGAAACGACAAACTAGTTATATCACTTTAAAATTATTTTATTTAAAAAATTATTAATATTAATATCTTATTCTTAATTATTAATTTAATGTTTTGCTTTATTGTTACGAAAGGCATAGAATTAATTAAGTTATAATTAAAATTAACTAATGTTGAAATAAATTTTTAATTATAAGGATACTATCATTTGACGATTTCTGGGATTTCTTTCTCGAACTTTATCCAAATGTCTTCGTCTTGTAAGTTCTCTGTCGCGTGCTGCAAATGTGTTTTTTACATCATCGCGGGCATGTTTGCAAATCATTGCGTATTGCGAAAGAGGTACAATCACTTTGGAATCCAATCTTTGTACTTCCGCATCTCTGTAGAGCAGATCGATAATGTTAAAAAAATATAAATCAAAATAATATTGAAGCAAAAAATAAAAACATAATTAAAATAGCATATAAATCAAATAAAAGCAGGTAAATCAAATAAAAATTATTTAAAAGATTATTTAAAAGCCTTCTAATAATTTTTCGCAGTCGAGGAATAAAAAGCTATGATTTAATAGAAAAAAATAAAGACCTTTATAAATTTTGTTACTAATGAAAATAGCAATGCTATAATTTTTATTTTTTAGTTATATATGTCAATATTAAACATAAAAATTATTTTACAAAAAAGTTAACATTTTACGAAGAAAACGTAATTATTTGAAACAAAATCTAGTTTTACGTTTTACCTATAATCACCGATGACTGATAATGTTGCAGAAAAATTCGCTAGTCCGGCACTCATTGATTGATTTACGACTTCAGAATCTGCATAAGTTTGTATTGTTTTAGCCACCTCATCGCTTTTATCACGCAATCTGAAAAAATAAATTAGTAAATAACGGACGAAACGGAGCACATCGTTGTCAAAACAATAGGGAATAAGAATATGTCACTAAGGAAAAATAATCGATATGGTTTGTTGGTCGAAGGAGCACCTGGCAGCTTTTCTGGTGAACGCCGCGAATATTGAGCACAGCTCGGCGAAGTATTTTTCCACGCCAGTTATGCGATCTTGTACAAATTTCGCTTCTTGCTCACTAATTAAAAAAATAGACATTTAATTTAAAGTTTGTTTATGATTTGTTTATGATATGTCAAATGGCGATATAAAATTGAAAATAAATCACATGTTTTCGGTTTAACTTACTACAAGCTGTTTTGAGAACGTGATCGAAGCATCTTTTTATTAAGTGTTCTTTAAAAAATAATTCAACAAACTATTTTACGTCAGATTTCTTTGCCGCGGGATTATCTTGCGAAGCGAAGGAAACAAATGTCTGTTGTTTCCTTTCCAATTCGCTTCGTTGACAGTTGCCTACTGGCAGCTGGTAAATTGCCGCAGGTGAAGTTATATGTGTATTTTCTATACTGTCTTTGGGCTAACTATGCAGGGGATTGATTATATGAATTTTTGATTGCTTATGAAAGATGGTTCTATCTGACCTATTTATTATAACTTTTCTGTTTCACAGTAATACAATCATTTTTTTATTATTCTCTTGATAAAGATTTGTACATTTCATAATTTCTGTTTTGTCTACATAACAAAATCAAATCGCTTTTTACATTTAGGCTGAGTTATTTCATCTTTCGGTAAACTTTAGCTTACTGTCTTACTCTTTTATGCTGTTATTCTTTTGTTTATCCAGTAAGTAGATAAATTACCATATAGTTTATACTCGAAGATGGAACAGCTCCTAATCTTTATATTAGAAAAATAAAACTAACAGTTAAATCATGTAAAAATATCGTTTTTATGCATTTATCTTTATATTAGAAAATGTAATAATAATAATAATAATAATATTTCATAATATTTCTACTGTATATAAAATGTGGAAAATGAATAAGGAATTTTACATTATTGATTTTATCTTTACTTTATAATACTACAATAAAATAACGAATTGACCAGCAACGTCAAGATATATTTAAAAATACTTTATTGCAGGTACAAGATTTAATATTTAATAAATAACAAATTTATGCAATAATTATGCAATAATATAATATTGCAATTAGCTAGTGTCTTTTAGCACAGCGAATGAATGTCCTGCGCCAGTACCCACGAGAATGACAACGGAATTAGATGGCACTGGAAGAAATTTCGGCCGTAAAACATTCTCTGTTTTTCCGTTACCACAGTTTCCATGCTCGTTCCAACCCCAACACAGCACTGCTCCATTATCTGTAAAATTAAATTGTTTATTATGATATATAATAAAATAAATTTCCAATTACATAAAATTGTAATTATTTGACATGTCTTTTATTTCTTTAGCATTGTACATTTTTATCACATATAATAATTTACCAGTTAAGGCAACATTATGCTCCGATCCAACTGAAAGTTGAATGATTTTCGGGATATTTTCTATACACTGAAGTCTCTCTTCCGTAGAAATTCCATTTTGTGATTTCGATAAAGAACGGCCTAATTGACCATAGTTATTTCTTCCCCACGAAAAAATAATACCATCTGAAATTATATGTATATTTTAATATGTATATAAATGTTTAATATATGTAGCGAAAATACAAAGTGAATTTAGTTTACTTACTGCTCAAGATATTTATGTGACTCCAGCCTGTATGAATTTGAATTGGTGTATCATGTTGTATGCTAGAGAGCGGAGTACATAGAGGTTGCGATATTCGTGTTTCAGAAGATGTTTTAGAAAAAAATCCCAGCTGTCCGTGCTTGTTATCACCAAAGACATATATATTATATGTTTGCCTTTTTGTTAGGACTATAGTATGATACTGACCACAGGTAACATTTTCCACGTTTCCTTGCATTGTCTGTTCTGCAACTGTTCACCTGTGTTTTAATTAAGTGGAAATATTTTCATTTTTTTATAATAAAATGTATTTTCAATAAAACAGTTGTCGGCGTGACTATTTAAGTTACAAGTGATAAAATAAATGATATAAAATGTATAAAATTCAACTTAGAATAATAAGTAAATATTGAAACTATAAATACACTGTAAAATAATAATATAAAAAATAATAAAAACATTAATAAATATTCGAGGAATTTAATAGCTTTAGAATTTTTTTATTTATACATTCATTTTTACAGAATAAAAATTATTCAAAGTATAATTTGTTATATACCTTTGGTGAATACACCAAGAAGAGTGTAAGGCTTCATGGTTTCTGGATTAATCAAACCCAATTGTCCTCTATTATTTGATCCACAAATGTAGAGTTCATGATTCTCTGTTACTATGGCGGTGTGTCGCAGACCCATTGAAACATTCTTTATTTTCTTGTCAAATGAAATTTTGTAGGGATGAGATATTGAAGAAAAAACTGAAGGATCCAAACCTAATTGTCCATAACGATTGGAACCCCATACATATAATTCGCCATTTCTTGTTAATGCCATGGAACTATCCCATCCACAACAGACATCAATCACTATTTCATGTTCAAGAGCACATATCCTTTGAAATATCAGAACATTTTCTTGCTCGATGTTGATGTTTCCAGCTTGTCCTTTGTTGTTCAAACCACAGGAATAAACATGACCATTCGTGTCTAAAATCAATGTGTGTCCAGCACCACCAACAATTTTCCTGATGAGTTCTGGCTCCAAGGAACATTTGGATAAATCAACTTCTTGAGGTAGAACAAATTGCTCAGATAATAAACCTTGTCCAAGTTGACCATGGGAATTTGCACCCTGCAAAAGATATATGCTCATAAAATTTTTCGAATTCTTTATCTGCTATAAATCTGCTATAGAGTTATATTTTAAAAATTGCTTTCATTCAACATATACATATATTCAGAAAATCCAATCTCACAATGTGTGTACACGATAGAAATTCTCATTAAATGGCATAACAAGAGTTTGGAATTTTATTTATAATTATCTTACCCATGAAATCAGACGATGCATAGACATTATATTTGAATTATATTTTTTATTAAATATTCCTATTATATTTTCCTTCTTATAATTCAGAACATATTTCTTTGTATTACTCCACATTCGCATATTTACAAAATGCGACAAAATGCGTCATTTGGAAAAGGCAGGTGCTCATGAAAATCTCCAACTATAATTTAGCGCACAAGTCTTTCTTGATGAAATATCCAATCGATGAAATATCCAATACATATTTTGTTAAATGTTGTCTTGTTATTTAGCAAAAATAATATACTATTTTTTTATTTACACATTTAAATGGTTTTATATACAGCAGCCTTTAGTAGGTTCTATCAGAGGTTTCTTTCTGGTTGCACGTCCATGCACGAATTTTGTGTTGGTTAGGTATATGTGTATGTACGTACATGATTGTAAACAAATATGCCGGCATACAAGCAGTCACATTAAGAAATGTAGATTAATTAAACAAGAATTTTTTTCTGGCTGTGTAACATTAAATGCTGTTATTTTTGTAAGTGACGTAACGTAGAAGATTAATTGAGCTGAGCAAAATGCAGGAATCCGTGAAGTTCAATCTTAAAGAGGTTAAATCGGATCTTCTGCATGCGATACGCGAATGCTCCCAGCGCGGTTTGCTACATACTACCAAATGGTGAATTTTTGCTTGAATAAATGTATTATAATCCCTTTATGCGTACACTTTTAGGATTCCACACTCATGTCTCTTTGTTATAGGTTAGCGGAATTAAATTATTCTTTGAAAAATGTAGATATAGATGATTTGACTATACATGCCAAAGTACCAGAGGTCAGCGAAGCAGAGGATATCTATACCTTAGCTAAAACATATTTTGATCTAAAGGAGTACGATAGAGCAGCTTATTTCACAATGGACTGTGTAAGTCCTAAGATTAGATTTTTACATTTGTATTCACGTTATTTATCAGGAGAAAAAAAGAAGATAGACGACATGACGGATGTACCGCCAGATCCTCTGAAGAACGAGACTTTAAAATACCTTTGTGCCGATCTAAGATCAGATCATTTGGCATCGAAACTAGATGGTTATGGATTATATCTTTTTGGTGTAACGTTAAAGAAGCTACAACTCATTAGAGAAGCTACAGATGTTCTAGTGGAATCTATTCATAAGGAACCTATGCATTGGGGTGCATGGTTAGAACTGGCTGCGTTAATCACAGATAGAGAGAAGCTAGAGAGCTTATGCCTTCCTAATCATTGGATGAAATATTTTTTTATGGCACACATGTACTTAGAATTACAGCTCATAGATGAAGGCTTAGCGTTATATTGTCAATTGCAATCGATGGGTTTTCAGAAAAATGGTTATGTTTTAGCTCAAACTGCAATTGCAGTGCATTATAGAAGAGGCAAGTTAACGAATTCAATATTTAGAATAAACAACTGTTTATAATCTTTATTGAAATATTTTAAGTCAATTTTCTTTCTTGATTATATAAATTAATTTTAGAATTTAGTTAAATCTATCACACATTTCATAATTATTTGAAATATATTTTTTTTAAAATAATATCTTCTAATAATAAGCAATAAGTTGAATATCATGTCATAAAAACATTTTTTATTTTAGATGTTGATAATGCAATAGAAACTTTCAAAAGAATAATAGATGAAGATCCATATTGCCTTGATAACATGGATACATATTCGAATTTACTTTATGTGAAAGAAATGAAAGTTGAATTAGCAGATTTGGCGCACAGGGCTACCGAGATAGATAAATACAGATTAGAGACTTGTTGTATAGTTGGTACGTATTAATTGTGCATCTCTTTGAAAAGTACAATTTCATATTTAAGGAAAATATACTTTTAAGAAATATTTTAAAAATGGTGTCTCTTTTAGGAAATTATTATAGTTTAAGAGCTGATCATCAAAAAGCAGTGATGTATTTTCACAGAGCATTAAAAATGAATCCTCAATATTTATCAGCTTGGACATTGTTAGGTCATGAATTTATGGAAATGAAAAATACCAATGGTGCTATTCATAGTTATAGACAGGCAATTGGTAAATTCTTTGCACATTTTTTGTTTGCATCCGCAACATATTATATTTTTCATTTTATATTTTTCAACTTGCTAGAGGTGAACAGACGAGACTATAGAGCATGGTATGGTTTGGGTCAGACATATGAAATCTTGAAAATGCCATTTTATGGATTATATTATTATAAACAAGCTCAGCTTTTAAGGCCTCATGATAGTAGGATGGTTCTAGCCTTGGGCGAAGCATATGAAAAGCAGGATAAAATTCAAGATGCACTCAAATGTTATTACAAGGCATGTAATGTAGGCGATATAGAAGGAATGGCACTCTTAAAATTAGCAACGTATGTATCCAATATGTAGTACTGAAATGACAGAAATAATATATGTATATTTTTTGTTTTGCTACAGATTGTATGAAAAATTAGGAGAACACGATCATGCAGCGGCAGCTTATTCAGATTTTGTAATGGATGAATTTCGAAGTGTCGATAGAACAGAACTGAGTCACGCATATAAATATCTCACACAGTATCACTTAAAGAAGGAACAATTGGATCAAGCTAATCACTATGCACAGAAGTGCCTTACATTTGATGAAACAAAAGAGGAAGCAAAGGTGTTATTACGAACTATCGCTGAAAAAAGAGTGAAAGTAGAAGAAACTTCTATGGTGGTAAGTAACATTATTTAACAGTAATTAGCAAAACAATTAAATTTCATTATTTTTCTAGGTGGATGATATGAATGAAACGGATCCTGTGATTGAGCAAAGAGCGCGAACGGATGCAACACCTGGAAGTCAACTATCGCCAATGAATCTTTCGTTCACACCTACACCATAAATAAAAAGGATATTTTCCGTTTACAGTATATAATTTTAATGCTTATAATTTTGTACATAAATACAAAAGATTCATTTTTTGTATTATATATTTTTGTAGTAAATTTTTTTTCCCTAACGGTATAATAAACGGTTAAAATTTCTCGATGTGTTAAGTGCAAGTAGCTGTAATTGATTATTGGATAGCATATGTATATATGTCGTATATATAAATTATAAAAAAGTTTGCAAAATTTCAATTTTTTTCACTGATCGGAAAAAAGATTGGTTATTAAATTCAATGCCAGTTCAATACGAATACAATGTTTATTTATGTTTATTATAAAAATAATTGTGCAGTCAATTTTCATGTGTGTTAATATTTAACTTACATATTAATACTAAGAATAAATCGATATCTTTATATAATATATTGCAATAGATTTGTGTGAATTATTTCCTGTCGAAGATTTATTTAGAATTCAATTAATTACATTCTATCATTGTAAGAAAATATCCTTATATAGACCTAATGTATGTAATTAATTATTAATAATGTATATATAATTCTTATTGTTAAGTATAAAATGCAACTGATTACCAGTTGAAGTATTTAATTTGCATTTGGACATTTCTTCTTCGGCGAGTTATTGTTGACCAATATTGTTTCCTGTAAATACATAATATATATTTATATATTTTCAATAATTCCTACAATTTATTCTCTAACAATATGTAATTTCTGAATTTATATTTACTTCATCATCGGAACAGTCGAGGTAATTTCTTGTTTCTCTAAATCTCTGAATAATTCGTTCGTGTGGCGAAGTTATAGTAAGGTGTCGTGGATATTGATATTCTTTTCTTGCCGGTGTTAAACCTAAAAAGAAATATATTAAATGAATTTTCAAGTTTGTTTTTTGTTCCTGCACTGGACTATAATAAAACTTTTTCGCTTTCTCACTAAATTAAAAAAAAAATTATATATATGTACATATAATTTTTTTTTTAATTTATATATATATATATATATATAATCTTTTTTTTAAGTGTATATTAGTTCAACCACGAAGAATAGATCTTTCATTCATATAACAGAAGGCGTTAAAAATGTGTCAACTTTCACCCTCAAGTTTTATCTAATAAATTTGGAAAAACGATTTTCTTGGTTTTCAAAAACAGGAAATAACAATTATTTGTTCAAGAAGTGATGGGAACATTGCTAGAGAATGATTTAAATGAATTTTTAATGATTCTTAAGCTTTAATTGTATATTTGTGGTTTTATCAAATGAAAATAGCGAAGAATTTTTAAGCTGATCACATTAAAGAATCAGGTGATTACGAACTTGTAATTATGAAAGAATCTGTATATAATATAACACAAAAAAAATCGAAATCTTTAATATTTTATGTGATATGTATGTCAAAAGATACTATAGAAATAGAGTATAAAATAATTCTAATTTTCTCATGACTCGTTAGACAAACAACTGTTTCCTTTTTTAAAGACCTACATAATGATTTTCCAAGGTCTCTTCAAATGTAACTTGAGGGCGAAAATTACATTTTTTTAACAACCTCCCCCCCTCATATTAATATATAAAAATGAGAGATTTACCTGTAGGCGTGTCATGCCGTAAATCTTCAAGAAATTTACCAATTTTTTCTTGAATTGAATGCATTTCTGTAAGTATTTTGTCATTCCAGTCAGATGAATTTTTACTTCTACTTGTAAGCTTATCATTCAGTTCTATGGACATTTGTAGATTTTTCTCTTTTAATTCTTCTGCAAGCTTTTTGTGATCATGACTTCTTTGTACTAGTGTATCATACATATTCTGTAAGGGAAACAATTATATATATATAATTATATATACATGTATAAAATAATTTTAATGTATACACAAAATAGATTTACTTTGATAGATCCAATAGAAGAAGAATTATCTTTCTTTAATTTTTGTTTCATTTGTGTCGTATTACTTTCGACATGTAGTGCATTTCGTGCTAGTACATCGCAGTGATTATTTAAGTCAGTCTGAAGTTCGTCAGTTAAATTACGGCTATGTTCTATAATTTGCTCTGCTAACGTCCAATTCTGACAGAATAAAAGATACAAAATTAGTGTATTATCTTATTCATATCAATTATTTTCAATTATTTTAAGTATTTAATAATTTGAAAATTAATGAAAGTTAAATGTTACCTTTTCCGTGCTAGATACAACATCGTTTTTGAGTATATCTATACCATTCTGAACTTCCTGTTGCAGAGTTTCGCTCCTTTCAACAGTCTTTTGGCAGTTATTGAGAATATCATTAGTTGTACTGCTGCAAACTTCATTAACATGATTTAAGGTGGTACATGCAGTGGAATAATTCTCCTTCATGTTTTCGTTTAATTTGTTAAATTCTAGCCATAGACTTTCAAACGACTGTAAAATAAGGACAATATATATAATTTGGATAAAATCATTAAAATATTAATCAAAGAATAAACAAAAAATGTTATTTAAAAAATACCATCAGATAACAGAATTATTACTAAATCATACCTTTTTAAACCTTTTTTGATCTTCCATGATTTTATCATCACCTTGACGAATAGTTTGTATATTCTGTCTTATTGTGTCTATATTTTTATGTAAATTATCACGTTCTTGCAATTTATTGTTACAAAGTTGTCTTGTAGATTCACTTGTATATGCCAATAATTCATCAAACTTTCGAGATACGTTGTCATTTAAACAACGTAAATTCTTTACAATTTCCATATTATTAACTTCTATCAAATCATTAATTTTTGATGTCAGTTTTAGGGATATGTCATTCAAAGATTTGCATTTATGCTGAGTCATATCAGATGAATGTGCCATTTCGGTGTCTAGCCACTCGTAATAGTGTTTGTACTAAAGAAAAATTTACTTTTTACAATTATTATATACATTCTTTTTTGTTACATTTCATATATGTAAATAATATTTACCGAATTATGTATATTATTCATGATTTCATCTGTTGCTAATTTTTGTTTATTAACAATATCATTCGACATATGGTAGACTAGTGCATCAATATCCTTTTTAAATAGTTCCATTCGTGAATCTGTGAAAGTATCTGTATAATGTATACATCTCATTTGTTAAGTGTATCCTCATAATTTTTACTTACCAATATTACTATTCATAGAAGTGCAAAAATCTATAAATTCTCGTGTATTAACTGTAACATTATTTTCTATATCTTGAAACTGTTTTGAAATATTACTTCGGAACTGATGACTGATATGTTCGTTTTCTTGTTCCAGTTGTCTATAAACATTTTATTTTATTTTTAAATGTATTTTTTTAAATGACTATAATCATAGTATTTAAGAAACATTAATCCGCATTACGAAATATTAATGCTTAATAATATAATAAATATAAAAAATAATGCAATTACCTTTTGTAAGAAATTTTATCTTGAAGCTTATTTACATCGACTGTTGTCGCATCCGCTACATCCAAGAGTTTTTGTGCTTGCGATAAAAGTTGTTTTTCTGTAGATACATGTTTTTCTACTAAGTGACTTTGTTCTTCTTTCTCACGTTCTGTCATTTCTAAAAGAGCTTCAGTCGATTTCAAAATATGTGTAGTGCATTCTAATTGTTCCTCAGTTTTATGCAGATAATTAGTTTGTGCGAGATGTTCTGCTTCTAAATCATTAAATATTTGCTAAACAAAAATAAAATTTAGGATAAGTATTAATCATTTAATACTTAAGTAGTATTAATATACTATAACTTTAATATTAATATTAATTACTTAATAGTGTTTATACTATAATAAAATATAATAAAATATAAATTAATCATTGTGTAATTACTTCCTTAGCATCCATAGTTTCTTTAAGTACTTTAATGTGTGTTATTTTTTCTTCAATTTCCCTGGTTTGATTTTCAATTAATGTTTGCATTTCATTATAATTCTCATGCGCCAAATATACACCGTTTCGTTCACGTGCTGCTAACAAATCTCTTCTAAGTCTCTCAATTTCTTCTGTATACTCTTTAAGCAATGCTCTTTTAGACAATTTCTGATTGATTTCGGGACGATTTGTAATATTTTTGGCACGATGAGCATAATCTAATGTCGATAAGGTTTCTTCAATATTTACACTCGCTGGAGACACTGTTGCAATAATTGACGTTTTTGTACGTCCTCCTAATGATTCTTGCAAAAGTCTTGTTAATTTTGATTCCCTTTGATTGACCAATAAAAAACACAAAGAATAGATTAAATCAATATATTTCTCTCACAGATAGAAATTTATTAAACTTTAATGTTAATGTAATTTAAAAAATTTTTTATATATTCATATTTATGAAATTATATTATTATGTAAATTTGTGTTACCGATATGGTATATGAGGTGCTCTTTCAACAAGTGCTGTTATAACTCGACCAAGAGTTAATAGTGATTGATTAATATTTCCTGCTTCTCTTGCTCTCCTATCAACTGCACCAGATCTTCCAACATTTTCACTCCCGGCTAAATCTACTAAATTTAATTTTCCTGTTTTTAATAGTTCTTCGCCATCCACATTATTTTCTTTTATATGAATTGTAATTGAAAATACTGTGTGGGAACGGCTAAAAGGAAAAATATATAAGTAGCGAAAAATATATAAAGTTTTAAAATAAATTACATATTTTTAAGACGGTAACCTCGAGTGAGCATTCATTAAAGTTGCAGCTGTTTGTCTTTTTTCTGATCCCTTTTCCAAGATCTTGTAAACTTCATTTTTACTGTGTACAGTTACTTCTTCTAATCCATGAATGATCACTGAACCTTTTCTTGTGGCATCTTCATAAAGCCTAAAGAATTATAAACACTATGCTAATCTAATTTTTATATTTTTTATAAGAATATAATAAAATTACCTTATTTTAGATGCATCATCAGTAGGTGATAATAAGTCAAATAATTCTTCATTATATAACTCAAGAAAGCTAACTCGAACTGTATATTCTTGTGCTTCTAACAAACGTAATTCATCAAACAAGTGACTCAATGCACGTGGTATAATTCCAGCTGTAGTATCCTATAAATAAATTATACAATTATACTATTACATTATCACATATACTATTTTAAGATGTGACAAGACATGAAAGTTAGTTCAAAATTTTATATAAAAAATTATAGAAGATTAGAATACTTTAACATATAGATGTAAATTATTTTCTTTCTTTTAAATTATTTTAATTTTTTTTAATTTCTTATATATCAAGCATTGTTGTA